TCTCGAAAATCATCTTGTGAAGGTTTTATTCAAAAATAAGCATTCTGGAAAGACTTGCTAGTATGCTGCAGTCCATTGCAAGACATTACATTTGTTGTATGAAACATTTGCAGAGGATGCAATAAATCCAACCTTACAATGGATGTAAGAGAAATTTGATTTACGTGTTCTCCACATTTGGAGCATCTTAATATGTAAATTAATCGTGGGTCCTACCCAAGTAACCATAGGTACATTATTTCATCTTTTTGGCCATCAAGGCCTCATCTGAACTTGCAAATACTGGTATAGCCATTGTTCAGATGTATATAGCCAAAAAGGCGAAATAACGTGCCTATAGTTACTTGGGTATCCCTATACGCTCCCATTTTACATTTGCATTTACTACAGGAAGCCAAAAGTCTGACCTGGACCCAGGACAAGGCAAAATCGAACAGCCACCCATGATGGAAATCTTCCACGTTGGCACTATGCACCAGTAGGGGTGTGCAGGAGACATCAGCATCAGTTTGGCAATTACCCTGATTTGTGTGTCTAAAGCAGTGTGCATACCATCTACCAGAGTTGCAGCAACACACGCGAGCTGGGCACAGCTTTCATCGTGATGGGCGAAATGCAGAAGCGCGTGATCGGTTGGTGGCCGATCGACGAAAGAATGTGCAGGTTGAGGATCAAGGGCCGATTCTTCAACTTTAGCATAATCAACGTGCACAGCCCTCACTCCGGAAGCACTGATGATGACAAGGACGCATTTTACGTGCAGCTCGACCGCGAGTACGATCGCTGCCCAAGCCACGACGTCAAGATCATCATAGGAGACCAAAACGCTCAGGTAGGCCAGGAGGAGGAATTCAGACCGACGATTGAAAAGTTCAGCGCCTACCAGCTGACGAACGGGAACGGCCTACGACTCATCGATTCCGCCGCCTCCAAGAACATGGCCATACGTAGCACCTTCTTCAAACACAGCCTTCCCTATCGCTACACCTGGAGATCACCACAGCAGACGGAATCGCAAATCGACCACGTTCTGATTGATGGACGGCACTTCTCCGACATTATCGATGTCAGGACCTATCGTGGCGCTAACATCGACTCTGACCACTACCTGGTGATGGTCAAACTGCGCCCAAAACTTTCCGTCATCAACAATGTACGGTACCGACGCCCGCCACGGTACAACCTAGAGCGACTGAAGCAACCGGATGTCGCCTTAGCATACGCGCAGAATCTCGAGGCAGCGTTCCCAGAGGAGGGCGAGCTTGATGTGCCCCCTCTAGAGGACTGCTGGAGTACAGTGAAAGCAGCCATCACCGACGCAGCCGAGAGCACCATCGGGTACGTGGAAAGAAGTCGACGGAATGAATGGTTCGACGAGGAGTGCAGAGCGGTTTTGGAGGAGAAGAACGCAGCTTGGGCGGTAATGCTGCAGCATGGAACCCGACAGAACGGTATAAACAACCATTGTGTGGTCCTCCTCATTGTTCTTCATCAGCAGTTCTTTCGGTCGATGTGTCGTCGACTTTGGAAAGCAACCGTTTCGTGATGAGTGTGTGAGTGCTGACCACGTTTTGTGTCCATTGCTGCAATGGACGCGCTCTGACCCTCGTTGGGATACAACAATGGAGGAGGCTTTTTGGTTAGCGGAAGATAAAGTGTTTATTGTGTTGTACCTTTTGATTATAGTTTTAAGATGTATTGTATAGTGACCAAGAATCCTCGGCTCTGTCAAGTTAATTCGGTTGAGCCTTATCAAATAAATTAATAAACAAAAAAAAAAATAAAAAATAAATTAAGAAAGTGGGAGTGTTGTGTCAAGCATACCGAAAAGCTGTCTACGTAGTGAACAGCCCCTAAAATAACACTGTTATCAAATAAAAAACAATCTGTGGGCAGTGTTGCGATAAACCGTTAAAAAAAAGTTGATGCATTGTCCAATACTCATATTGTTCGTTTAACTCGTATAACTAAAATTATGCACTCATAATGCTTAAAAACAAACAAATAATGTTGAAAACATAAATGACCTATGTAACTGTGATTATAACAAAACGTCCTATATAACGTGTCCAATGTACACCTGACAAGGGCAAAATGTCCTATGTAACATTTTTCACGTTTTCATAGAAAAAAATGTATGAAACGGGTAGATTATAATTTCAATTTCAATTTTACTATTAATGGTCTTAAAAATGTCAAAAGTTGATTTGGTTTAAAATAGTATCAAAAAAGATTTTGTCAATCTTCAACCTCGTTTTTCTCGAAAAGAGTGAAATGTTAGATAGGACCTTTTGCAAAGTTAGGCGAGAATTCTTTGCTTCACCGCAAGGCGTCAAGCATCAAAGTTGAGGAAGTGAATCTATTAAATCTCAAAATCAAAGCGGCGCCGGTGGTGTAGTGGTAAGCGTGACTGCCTCTCACCCCAAAGGGCCTGGGTTCAGTCCCAGTTGGTGCCACGGGAAGGGAAGTAAAGCCGTTGGTCCTTGGTCCATGAGTTGAGGGGTCGATAGGTAGGGTCCAGGTGTGGGAGCTGCCTTCCTGGCGTCGGTAGCATTGGCATTCAGAACGGAAATCAAGATCGACAGAAAAACAAATCAAGGAAAAACAAATCAAGGAAAAAATCGCAAAATTAACGGCATTATTTTATTCTGCAAGCACTGTAAACTCGATATTTGCGTTTCATTGGCCAGAAATAAAATGGAAGGGCAAAAATCGAAATGAAGAGAGATGATTGATTTGTATAGATGTATTTGACTGGCAATAGTTAAATGGTTTTTTTTTTCAATCGACATATGATTCCATACTTTTTGGCAATTTTCTTGATGTCAGTGTCAATGTGAGAGTTGAACTTAAGTTTGTCATCAATAATCACGCCAAGATATTATATCTCCCGAACGCTATCAATAGTCCCATCATCAATTACAATAGAGACATTCTCATTTACTCGATTCCGTGAAATCACCATAAATTTAGTTTTACTTGAATTCAATTTCAACTGCTCACGCTTCAACCATCTACTTAAAGATCGAAAATCTTTATTCAGGTGTGAGACAGCAACTTCTAAATCTTTAGCTGCAATGAATATCACAGTATCGTCTGCAACAAGATAAATGTCGCAAAATCCTAAAACACGTCATTAATATACATAATAAATAAAAAGGGCCCTCATACACTTCCCTGGGGCACTATATGAGCTGTTTAAAATCAGATAGCCAAGAGAAGCCTTAAAGAATAAAAATTAAATTAAATATTTTCAAATGAAATATTAATGTGCACATTAAACACAGTAGAATGCTTTGATATTACATTTGGATAATTAAATAAACATTTTTACATCTGGTTTGCGCCTCAAAAGCTAATAAAGCATTCAATTTTGATTATTTGATATTAGAAATTACAAACAAAAATTGGATTTTTTCCAATATCATTATTCATAAATATAATTAAGGTTCATGAAATTTTAATTTTGTTTTTCCCAATCAAACAAGAATTTAAATGCGTTATATTCAATATGTATGATAGAAATGACAGTCAAAATAGATTGCTGAACTTAATCGATAAAACACGATTTTTGCTGATTTTGTCGTTAGAAAACATGTTTGTACAGAATATCGGTATAACAAATTAACGAATTATGGTTATATGAAAGTATTTACTGAAGTTCGGTAGTGGTTTACCATGAATTTAGATAAAAACTTACTTCCCCGACTTCGGTAATAAAAAGTGACAAACCTCGGCAATCGAAAATAAAAGTAAGTATCTTTCAGTTGTGCACATTCATTGTCAGCCATTTTGTCAGAGTGTAAGTCGTCAGTTACTGCTTAAAGTGTTGCGTGTGATTCAATGAAGTGTAAAATGGAGGCAATATTGCGGCAAATTGATGGTGAAGGAGAAGCTGTAAGCCAAAAACTGCGTCAACTCTTCTGTAAGTACTAAATCTTTATTTCGTACAGGTAGGAGATGGCTTACGCTGCTTTTTCTGCAAACAACTACTTCCGGGACACGCTGATGGGTGAGTGGAAGAGTGAGAAATAATGTGTCATTGGCGAATAACTTGAATAAAGACTTGTTCACAGAATTTCCATTTATTTGGTATTACTATTATTATTATTATTATTATTATTATCATTATTATTTTTGTTGCTATTCTGAATAATCCAATTAATTTGAATAGAAATTTCGACGATAGTCGGCAATAGCAAAATCTTTCCATGAACGGTTTGCCGAAGGATTGGTAAAAGATTTATTCTTGTTTTGAGGTATTTCGGTAAAATAAAAACTGAACGCTCGGCATACAAGTACCGATGTTCTCGCTAAAATTTGACAGTTGAATAAAACTGATAATTACCAAGCGTTCAGTTTTTTTTTTACTTTTACCGAAATTTTTTACGAAATCTCGGCTGTTGGATTCTCGGCAATTTATTTTGCCGGCCTCATTGAAATAAACTAAGTGTTTAGATCATCAGTATATTTATTTATTTCACTGGTTTGTTCGTCATTATTTTAAGTATTACAATCACATAACTTATTTTTCAGCGATGCATTCATTATCACATCTTATATTCTAAATCGTCTAGATATTCAGTCATGGGTGGGTTGCTGTTTTGTGATTCCCTCTAGAAAATCATAGCCGTATCTTTGTACACATTGCTGCACTATTGTAATCAGTTACGGAGAAACCAGTTTTCGTTCGTTATCGTCGCTAGATATTTTCAATCCCTACCCGATTAGCGTACACTCAGTTTTTTTTTTACACGGGGGACATGCACCGAGTAAAAACATCTACCGAGATTTTGATTTTTCACATACTCTGTATTTACACCAAAAAAAATTGTTTTTAAGTGTGCCATTCGATTACCTATAGGTATAGGTAAATATATGGCTTGAAACGGATAATGTGATTCAAATCAAGTCGATAGGTTGTATCGTGTTATCCAGAAATCGTTACAAACGGGCCGTGTAAATTTCGACTCAGTGGCACCAACCGTGTAAAAAACAGTGTAAAAAACCGTGTAAAAAAATGTGTAAAAAAACGTGTAAAAAATCGCGGAAAAAACCGTGTAAAAAAAACTTGAGTGTATTTGTGCGCGATTCATCATGACGCATTGCACAAATAAATTGCGACTCATATCGGCTGTATAAGTCACCTACTGCATAAGAAATGGATTTCACTACCATCATTATTCCAGACACGTAGCTAAGACAAACTGACGATATAAGAAACTTATTCAGCGCAAGAGAAATCTCGTTTCTCGCCGAATTTGATATCAGGATTCCTTACAAGTGGAGGCTTCAAAGTCACTAATTTAAGCCTCATACAGTCACTGATACAAGATTTTCAGAACGATGTGAGCGATCATGGCTGCCTGCACTTTCACTTCGTGCATTACTGCTAGACGTTGCTGCGGGCTCTATCACATTGGAAAGGTTAACAACCAAATCTTCGGTGAATTGTTCTCGACTGCTGCTGCTGTTATGGACCGGAATGATAAAGATGCTGTCCGATCTTTTATCAATGACTGATTCATAGCTAGGTGGAGCAAAAAGACGATACGATGGTGCTGGTGTAGGAGGTACAGGCGTTTCTACATCTGGTGGCTTTGGTGTGAAACATCTGTTTGTATCCGCACATGCCATCACCACAAAGAAGGATATCAGAGCTATCAACGTCGCCACGTACCAAATAATGGTGATCAGATCCATTGTTGGAGTCACAGTGCTCAGTTCCCGCAGACTTGTCGTTGGAGTCACACTTAAAGTTGATGATTCTGCAGAAATGAAATATTTTATTTAATATCGTAACTAATCTTAATTTGCAATCAAAAAATTACTATATACCTTGTTCTACTTGATAACCAACTGTCGATGTTTCTTGACTGGGAAGATCCACGGATATAACATCTGCAGCTTTCTCCTCTTCAACATTAAGCTCCTGTACGAGAACAATTCCTAGCAACTGTGGATCTTCCGATGCTACCGACCCATTGATTAGGGTGACTGAAAACGAAATGGATACAAATGTTAAGCAACAACTGCAAGGCACGGCATGGAAGACTTAATATTTTGCCTAGAGATAAGAACACGCCAACAAAGCTTTCTGATAAAATGCGCAACGAGTCATTATTTCTTCAAACTCACATCAATAAAAATTTACGATAGCATTTGGCACTATGCGGTAGCAAAATTTGGTACCGTTCTGATTCATATTTCGGACACTTTATAATTATATATGATATAAACTTTTAAAATATATCACGCTTGTTCTTTTAGTCAGCCCGTGGATTTACAACCATTTTTATATAAGTATCACACCTAAATAATAACATTGCTGACAAAAATGATAACTGGAAGCGCGTGCAAACAACATTCTTTGAAAAAGTATCCGAAACATAAATAAATTGTTTTCACTGTGAAAAAACTTGATTCTTATTTTGGAGTTTTTTTCATCTATTTAATATTACATACGTACATTTGAATCAGTGCTCTCTTGCCGTGTGGATCTTTTTGCTAGTGTTACTGCTACCTAAAGCTACCACAAATTTAAACAGCACTTTTCAGTGCTCAATGTACCTGCAAATGTTCTAACTTATTCCTCTTCGATCATTGTTTGGACCCTACCCGTGGTAATTCTGCTTGGATATCGATTTGGAAAATTACTGTTCGATCCTTCAGATTCTTATAGTAAGCTGCTTAGAAGCCAATTTGGATAACTGTTTTACTACCATCCCATGCCGTCTAAGCACAAAAGAAAAAGGTAATCTCTTGATTTGATTTGCTCACGGATGATGAGAATGATCCATCATCCAGGAAAAAATCTTACTTACGGAACTTTTAAAATCGTGAAAATCAAGGTTTCACTGCAAATTGGCCGTCGAGGTGAATACCGTATATTGGCTGGAATCTTGGACGGATTCAAACGTCTTACTGAGAAGCAGCACCAATTTTTTACTTACGACACCAAAACTGAACTGTGTTCAAGGTTGTCATGAAAGGTCTGCCCAGTGGTGAATCCCTGGATCAGATCAAAGAAGATGAACTGGCAAAAATACTTAGAGTTGTGCCACTCCAAGTAATCAAAACGAAAATGAAATCCCGTCCTGGCGATTTGCACAACGGGATTTCTAATGATTTTTATTTAGTTCACTTCAAATCTAGTGAACTAAACAACCTTAGAAAAAGTTCAAGTGTAGTGGGATCACTTCAGGAAGACTGGAGGGAATTTCCAAAAAACCTCACTCAGTGCCGATGGGGTCACATGGATGGGGTCACGGAACAAAAAATTGCTACATGCATGAATTGTGGTGATTCCTCTCACGCAAAGGACAACTGTCCTGTGAAGGAAGATCCTAAGAAATTTAAATGTTCAAATTGTGGTGAAAACCACAAATCAAATTTATGGGAATGTAAGACTCGCAAAGCGATCCTACAATCTCGTTCAAAGCAACAGGTAAGAAACGCTCCACGTTCCCGAACAGGTACAAATTACTCTGCTGCTAACAACGGTCAGCGAGGAACAAATTCTGCATTCGTCCCCGTAGGCTCAAATATCACCCCTGTTTCAAATTCTTCATCTGTACCTGCTCCCCTCGTTGCTCACAATGTTCAGCAAGTAAATGGAGCTATTGCAGCGTGTAGAAATCAAAATGCTGGCCAACAAAATTCTAACCGAAATGTTGATAATCTTTATTTAAGAAGCGTTACTGCTGCTAAAATGGAATTTTTAAAGAAGTTATCAATTGAAATGCTTTAAACTAACTCCATATTTTTTATATCTTTATTAAGGAGACTTCCAGCCCTGGGCTACGCCTCCGAACTCCATGTTTGATGCTATTCAAACTGGAGTAATATTTGCGAACAATATAGTCATATATGAAATTCAGTATTGGATTTTTTTTTCTTTATTAATAAGACTTTCAGCCCTAGGCTAGTTCATCTCTAAAGGAATAATGGATTTTAAATCATTAAATATTTTGAATTGGAATGCTCGATCTCTTAAAGATAATGAAGGCGAGCTATTTAAATTTTTGAGTGCTTCTTTCCGCATCTAATTGCACGAATTCGTGCAAATGTAGCATATTGAGGATTGCATCTAACGCTTTCGATGAAGTGCTGCGATGCGCCCCCTTTATACCAATGCACACAAGCCGTTGAAGTTTTGCCAGTTTTGTTTATACGGTAGCCTCGTTTGTTTTTGACCACCACACTAACGCAACGTACGTTATTTTTAAGCATAAATACACAATCATTTTTGGATTAAAGCCCCAATTTCTTCCAAAATGCACAGGCTACCCTGCTTATCGCAACGTCAACATGTGCATTCCAGTTCAGCTTGACATCAAAAATTTCTCCTAAGTATTTCACCTGTTCACTAAATTGAATTTCTACTCTCCTAATCTTAGGAGGTTTTGCATTTTTTCCGTCAAACTTTCCTCTTACTAAGTCTTACGCAAAGCCCACAAGCTCGAAACCCTTTGCTTATAAGCTCCTGATAAGATTGTCTACAACTAACAACTACATACAGTCAGGGATCCGTATTGCCGGGGTAACGAGGGCGTTAATAAGGAACCGTAAATAACCCTAGCCACATCTTGTGAGATTTTCACTAATATTTAGGGGCTGTGGATGATTATCCCATTTGTTTCAATGTATAAAGCTGCACTGTCTTCGACAAAGTTGTTGTCCTGGGGTAGACTAACAAGCATGTGCCATTCGATCTAAGTTTAATTGGGAACTACGCTACTAGAGGCGCTTCACTTTCACATTACTTATGACGGACGCTATATTACATTTAAGTCCTACATAGAATATCTCTTCCAAAATAGAATCTCTTGATCCTAACCATGTAGAAAGTTGCTGTCTTCAGCAAAGTGGTTCAGCCATATTAGTTCAGAACTATCACACTACGCGGCGCTAGTGTGCACATGAACTGTCTGTCCTAACTGGTCGGGCTACTATCTTTAGCATAGTTGTTCAGATGACCACGATCTTCCTGGATGGTGTCATATTAGTTCAGAACTCTCTCACTACGTGGCACTAGTATCAACAATCAATAGGAAACTAACGATTTTAAATTGGCTCACTACTTGACTAGCCTATTGGTCCCAAGCAAACGATTAACGTATCCCATTCTAGTCGAAATTCTAGTACTACGCAATGTTTGTTTTGATTCGCTATGAAAGTTTGACAGATGAAATGAGAGGTTATTCGTTTTTCCTATGTTTCGAGGGGTGAATCGATTAGCTTGGGACGGAAGAGAGTACCAGAGCTGAGCCAAAAAGTTGAGCACGTTATTTCGGGACCTTCTAGTCTTAGAGTTACCTCTATGCTAGTATGGTTGTGAACTTCCTGAATATGCCATGTCTCGAAAGCCAGCCCATATAGGATGTTGCTGTGCAATGTGAGTATTTCCGGAACGTGAGGCTGCGTAGAGGCCGGATAAAGATGCAAGATGCCATTTTGATGGTGGCCATCAAAATCCAACAATCCATTAAATCCAAGATGGCAGCCATCGGGTTTAAATTCTATCAAATACCCAAATATCAAATATGGGTTTTTTTCCGAACGGGGACGATGTGTAGGTCTAAAATCGATGTTGGACGTCATTTTTGAATTAAAGATGGCAGCCGTTGATTTTAAAAATTCTGTCAAATACCCTACAATATGGTCGAAAATTGATATAAGATGCCATTTTGGAATCCAAATAATTATTGGTTTTAGAAACCAAATGTCAAATACCCTACAATATGGGTATTTTCGGAATGAGGACAACTTGTAGATGTCAAAATTCGATGTCCGTTGAAATACATTCGATGGACGATGTCCGTTGAATTCCAAGATGGTGGCCATCGGTTTTAGAAAAACTGTAAAATGGCCAACAATATGGGTATTTTTGGAACGAGAACGACGTGTAGATATCAAAATGTTGACGTTCCCTGCCCTTTTAGAATCCAAAATGGTGGACATCGGCAAAAAAAACTGTCAAATACGTATGGATTTTTTTGGAACGGGAACGACGTGTACAGATCGAAAATCTTTGTTCGCTACCAATTTTAAACCCATGATGGCGGTCATCGGTTTATGAAAAAAAACTCAGAGTTGGAGGGAAATGCTATAAGAACTCTGAGTTTTTTTTCAGACTTGATTATCCGGGGGTTTGAGTATTGGATTTGAGTAAGTAAAAACAAGAAGCATAGGGTAAATGCAGCAACTAGGGATGGTGGCTTCTTACATACATACATACATTGTACATATTAATCCCAATTTGTTTTTTTATGATCTCTGTTTGTAACCAGTAGTGATTTCCCATCAACCCATTCAAGAGTGATGTGTTCGTGGTGTGGTCAAATTCAACACATCTTCTCTGATTACGTTTGAAACCGTTGGCGAATTTCCTTTATTGCTCTAAAACTACACGCAGAAAAAAATATTTTAAAAGTAATAATATTTGACGTAAAATCAATAAGAATTTCATTTTGTTTTGGCTGCAAAAAGAAATCATTATTGTTTCAACAATCCAGTATTTTTGTTTCTAAAAACCCATGGATTGTTAAATCAAAAAGAAAATCTTTTAGAATTTACAAGAGCTTTCATGGTTTTGACGTAAGCTGTCAAATTTGGCAGCTGGGTCAACAACAAAAATATGTTTGTTTTTAAAAGAGATTTTTTGTTGATTCAATCATATTTATTTTATAAAGTCTGACAATTCACGCAGTAGAAATAAAAATGTGTTTATTGATGTAAAAATAATATGGCATTTTTTTTTATGTTTCGTTTTCATTTGGAAACAAAATTGCAGAAATTGTAATTGAATTTCTGAGGCATAAAATAAAAGCCCCGGTTCATGACTTGATGGGTCGATATGTAGGGTCCAGATGTGGGAGCTGCCTTCCTGGCGTCGGGAGCATTGGTACTCAGTACGGAAAACAAGATCGACGGAAAAAAATAAAGGAAAAAAAACAGAAATATTGATTATATTTATCAACTGCAGCTCGAATTGC